AGCCGTGGCGGGACTGCGGACACGGGCGGCCGTGATATGCTGGTCCGTGTCCCCGGAGGTGCCCTGAAAAAGTTCTCCAGAGCAGCTTCACAGAATAACAATTTCTTGTAAGCGACAAGTATGCTTATTTTTCCGCTGACCCCATTGGTAGGTCTATGGGAATCTTTATGTACTTCTTGTGCATTACATTATTAAAGTATTTTCCCTAAACAGGTCTCGTCCAATTCTTACCTATTTATTCAGAAACAGTGACATGCTCATCACTAGTGGTCACTTTCTTCTGTAGCTAGCTCTAATGAAGTCCATGGAGGTATTGTTTCTGATTGCCATGGAGATGAAACTTCATCCTTTAACATATCTTCCTTTCTTCTGTCCCATGCAGATGGTTTTGGAGAGAAAAAACCCAGTATAAAGAAGAGCAACTCAAAAGCTCTGGCTAAGAAGAAGGAAGATGACTGTGATACTGGAGCTTCCAACTCAGCAAATAAGCCTTCAAAACAAAAAGAGGCAAAATCACTAATAAAAGAAAATAAAAAAAATACTGGAAATAAAGGGAATGGTAACAAAGAGGAAACGTGCAGGTAAGTTTACTTGTCATTCAAGTCTATAGGAGCTCTCTCTTCATGGTTACATTTTATTTCTTTAGAGCCCAGTGCTGCTTATGTGCATGTGAGCAGTTTGTTTTAGGCTATCAGTACAATTTAGTACATTTGTGTCCCACAGCTGGACAGAAGTACTGTCTTATTCATTGCAGAGTCAGTTTGGAGGAAGATAGTCTGTATGGGAAGCTAATATGTGAGCCTTTTCAAATTCAATGGTTTAAATATAAAATTCTATTTCATTTGTTACAGTTTTTACATGGGACTAGGGAGACTTTATGGAATCCAGCATGAATAGAAGAAATGTTGGCCTGAGATTTGGGTTTAAAATGATGAGCAGAAGTCATTACATATATCATTCTTTAGTGTTTTTTTGGAATCCAAATATAATATCAGCATGGTCTGCCCATGGAGATTGCTATAGCAAATGAATTAATAAAAATAAATTAAACTGATTGGTCTCATTTCACTGGCCAGCTAGAGCCTTTGATATTAGTGCAGTGAAACAGAAACACTTCCAATTTCAGAACACTTTGAAGGTTCAGTAAGAACAAATGATTCAGTGAGACATTTCTCCAAGGACTCATTTGTACGAGGTGTTGTAAAGGATGGGGCCTTTTGTAGGTTCAGGCATCTTCGTAAGCATCCTTGCAGAACCAGGACCTAAGTTAGTACTCAAAAAGTGTTGCTGCATTGAACCCATGGCAAAGACTATGCTTTACAGAGAAGGTATCTGTAGTTTAATTGTCAAGTACTCAATCTGTTCTTATTGATGCAGAGGTCATGCTTCATTTATTTCCGTATTTTTAGTGTGTTCTTTCTCTATTTTTCTTAAATAAACAAACACACTTCCTCATGCTAAAGCCATTTTGATAACTTCAACAGTGACTCGCTGAAGCTCCTTCAGAAAGAGAGAAAGTTGAAGAGAGAATCTCCTGTTAAAAAAGAGATGGATGAAGACAATACTGATGATGATGATGATGAAAGTGAAGATGAATGGGAGGACGTGGAAGGTAACAATTGCATGTTTATTCATTTTAGGGAGTAAATATTCTTATACACAGTTTATTTTTTTTGTAATTTGATTTTTGAACTATTTCTCATGTGGATTCAGGTAAATGTATATATTCTCTATACCTGAAGTATACTCCATGTGCATATCTGTATCGTTAAAAGCTCATCTCTCATAACCTTTTAGAATGGCTCCAAAGTAGAAAAAAACCAGACAACTACTGACCTGATGGTAGTGCCTTGAATTTGACTGTTTGTTGGCTTGTGTTAAAATTATGCTACCATGCACCAAGCGCTTTCTCAGCTGTTTGTTTTGTCTAATACTGAGCAGCTAGGAATGAGTTGAAGATTCAAAACTACAACTTCCTAGTAAAGGAGAGTGTAGATGAAACCAACTGAACTGTTCAGTTAAGTGGCCATCAAAAAATTGATAAGAATTATGATGGTCATAATCTTTGTATTTTGCTGCTGCCTTCTAAAGTGAAGAGTTGTCAGTTTTTTTCTTTGCTACTCTACAAGTACCCTTCAAGTCACATCTGCTTCATTCACCTTTCTCCTGATTGAGTTTGCCTGTGGCAGTCACTTGCTATTAGACTGTGCTGAGCTGATTCCTCAACAGCAGGTGACTGGCATCCCATAGTTATTTGAAATAACTGAGCACACACAGTGTTATGGAAGATCCAGGAGCTGCTAATTACTGGGGATGTTGTGTTTGTAGGTTCTTATCCCATTGTCAGACCTCCTTGTGGCATCTATTCCATGTTTACTTATCATTTAGTAATATTTTATTTTTCCAGAACTCCAGGAACCTGCCACAGATAAGTTAGAAGATGGTGCTGATCTTCCGGCTGTGATGATGCCAAGCAATCCTGTTGAGATAGAGATTGAAACCCCGGAGCAGGTGAAGAAAAGAGAGAGGAGGTAAGAACAGAGAAGGCAGCAGAGGGCTGTTAAAGGATGAAGTTAAAAATATACTAAGTCTTGGCTGTCACTGACTTGCTCTATTCTGGGTGGAAATGCCTACTTTGTGCAGACTGCTGAGTTGAAATGATGCGAGGTCATGGGATGGAGAACAGTTTACATGCTGACAATTTTACCAAAATCTTCAGTGGAAGTTGGCGGGAATAGATATTTTTCAGCTTCCTTGAAAATCAAGTGTGTGACTTCGTTGTGCTTTAAGATCTACATCTCCAAGCCAGGGACGGTAGTAGCTCTCTTCAAGGAGAGCTGTGCGTGAATGGCTGGTTGTACTGTAAATATGTTAACAGCTCAGGTGGAAGCTTGTGTGTGCCCATACCTGAGGTGCGAATAGGTGGGTCAAATGAATGCCCTCGGCATCTGGGAGCATTGTACCAAGGAAAGCCTTCGTTGTGCGGTGGCTGGAGGCCTGATGATACCTCATGCTGTTACAGGGTGGGCACTGTCCCAGGCCAGCCCTTCATAACAAAGCAACCAGAGTATCTGTTGCGTCTAAGTTGAAAGACTTCATCAATGAAGAGAACACCATTTTTTCAGGAATCTGAATGCTAGCAGTCATCTAAAAGTCAAACAAGTCAGACGGTAAATTATAAGTTTAGTATGGAGCTGTCCTAAGCTGCCTGGTAGGAAACTCTAGGCACATGAAGTTAGGTGGAGTTTAGGCCATCTGAGTATACCCAAGCTCTCAGTAGTCAGGTATGTGCAGTTCACAGTTTATTAGTCATATGTAGCCTGCATGCCTGTTCACATGGCCAGTAACTAAATTTTTGTAAGTGTGCACAGAAGTTTCTCTGGGATGGATTCTCGTTGTGAACTGATCCAGTTCAGGAATCTAGAAACGCAAGTCTGTGGAAAACCCACAACATCCATTTCTTTTGTAATCTTGTGCAGAGAAAAAAGGAAAGCCGAGTTTGAGATGTATCTTCGAAGAATGATGAAACGTTTCAGCAAGGAGGTTCGTGAGGACACACATAAGGTATTGGTCACAGAGAAACCTGGCAGGGAAAAAATTGAGCATAAATGTGATTCATAATGAAAAAGAAACTAATTTTGATCAAATAATTTGGAGCTATGGCTAGAAGTAAAAAAACAGAAAGGCTGTAGTCCTGACAAATGCTCATTAGACTTTTCCTGAACTGTAAGTTAGAAACATCAATAACTGCATTAGGAAAAATCTAAATCAAAGCAGATGTGAGTAGGGTGTATATTTCTCCATTGAGTGTGTATCTGGTCATTCTGTGGACGTTAAACTCAGTCATGTAGAGCAGAAGGCACTGATAGGGGTTTCGAGGCTTTACTGTCTTCTGATGGTGATCTGAAGACAGCCCTGTGTCCTCCCTGTGTATGCTTGAGAGGCTTCATTGTTGCCTGTCTCTTAAAAGGAGCAGTAAGGCCTTCCTTGTCTATACCATGGACAATAGTTCTAGTAAAGAAAACCTCTTGTGAACTCACTATAGAAACCTTTTTTCTCTCAGGTTCACCTCTTGTGTTTATTAGCAAATGGTTTCTATAGGAACAGGATCTGCAGCCAGCCAGATCTTCATGCCATTGGTCTATCCATCATCCCCACCCACTTCACGAAAGTGCCTGCAGGCCAAGTGGACCTTCTCTACCTTTCCAACTTGGTGAAATGGTAAAACTCTCTCTCTCCTAATCATGCTGTCACATAGAACGTAGAGCCAGGGTTCAGGGAGAGGGGTAAATGTAATTACCAATTTTCAATGATTTTTCTGATTTTAAATACAAGGGTGAGAATCTGTCCTTTTTACAGAAGGAAATTATGAACTATGAAGTTTAAGAGTACAGTCACACACACTGGACAGTAAGTAGGTGTCTCATATTTCAGGTTTGTTGGAACCTTCACTGTCAATGATGAGCTTTCCACTGAAAAAGGAGAGCCCCTTCAGTCGACCTTGGAGAGGCGCTTTGCCGTCTATTCTGCACAAGATGATCAAGAGTTGGTTCATGTAAGTGACTGTGAAGTGCAGAGTTAGCTGCTGAGTTTGCATGCTAGATCAGTGCTGTACTGCTGTCAGGTTGTACACAAAGTGGTGTTTGAGGGATGGATTTGCAGAAAAAAAATTGGTGACTTAGGTGATTCTGTGGCTTTTTTGTTGTTGTATTTTTATCTGTAGTCCTTCTGTGATTAAATTACTCAATTTGAACTGTGCCTAACTGGAGCCTCTAGTTCTGGTTGGTGTCAGCTGCGTGCTCTGTGTTCTGCTGTGGTTGGCTTTATGTATAGTGCATAGAGCTACATGTTCCTCGGTATGCTTTGACAGTGTAGATCAAAGAAAACAAGCTTAATATATTTCTTCTTAAGTACTAATATGAATGAGGAAATTTTTGGGCTTACTTGCAGCCAGAGAAACTTTACAGATCTTTGAGTTAGAAAGTTGGTAGTTTGTTACTATAAGTCACCGTTGAAGCTGAAAGGAATTGAGCTTTGATTTAAGGCAGCCCAAGAACAAGGCTTCAAAACAACTTCAACTCTACGGTCATTTTGTGGTGGAATTGGATTAAGGGAAGAAGTGGAGTCAGTTGCTTCAAGTCACAGAGAGATTTAGTAAAACAATTGAGGGAGGGGGAAACACAGGAGATCAAATTGACAGAGGACATTTGGAACAGCAGAAATGAGCTGCTACTTTGCAGATGCATGGCTTGCAGCTCTGCCCTGTTGCTGGTAAAGTGGGATGTTGCAGCTCCTCTGCTGCAAAGCTTTTTCAACCTTGGTGTGGAAATGCAAAGATGTCACTTCCTGGGACAGGAGGAAAAGACAAAGCAAGCTTTGCTTAGGCAGCTTCTGTTTGAGTCCCATGCAGGAAGTCAGTTGCCAGGTCACAGCTGTTAGCCACTCGGTTGTGACTGTAATGACATTCTCTGAATGGCTGGTGTTTCTTCTGGGTTCAGCTGATGGGATGTGGTTGGCTTTGGCCACCTTTGGGAGGATTAGATTCATTCAGTTTTCCTCAAGAGTGAGAGACTGATAGGGTAAATAGGATTTGGCTGAATTACTGTGTCTGCTCCAGCAGGATCATTCATTTAGCCTCTTTAGGAATTGGTCCCTCATCTGTGAGCTAACAGCAGTACCCCTGTCACAGTAATACCATAAATAAGAGCCAGAGAATACTGTGCAGTACTCTAATACTGTAGCAACTGGGCTACTTACATCTCTGTGTCAGTGTATACAGCACTGGGTAAAAAGTAGGACTGAAAATGATTTGTGACAGAACCCAGACTGTAAAAGAGTTTCAAGAGGTTTTTTTATATACCTTGAAAAAAGGTTAAACATGCTTTATTTTTATTTTTGCAGATATTTTTAATTATTCTGCGAGCATTGCAGCTGCTGTGTCGCCTCGTGCTGTCTTTTCAGCCCATTCCTCTCAAGGAGATAAGAGCAAAGGTAGATTTTGTTGGGTGTTGGGAATAAGGAATGGGTTACTGGTTTAGAGAATGGGATTGAAAAAACTTTTTCTGTTGCAGCTTGAAGTGAATCGCTTACTGCATGAACCAGGGTGATGACAATGTTCTGTCTGTAGTGCAGAAGATGAAAAAAAAATTTTTAGGTTTCACCTTTAAAAAAAACACCCATTTTGTGTGTTTCAGCAAAGACTTCTTACACTTCAGTGGTTTTAATTTTCTTTAAAAATTAGACAGCAAACACTTGCTGCTTGAGTACACCTCTTTTCAGCCATGTTCCCTGAAGTTGTCAAGTCCCTAAGACATGCGCATTGACCATGCCTGCCAACCTTTGGTCTGCATGCACCTCATGCTGATTTCAGTCTTTTTTTTTAACGTATCCTTAGCCGTGGTAATAAAGGTGACGTGGCATCTTTCTTTGCAGGGAAAAAGCTCATCCAAGAGGCAGTCTGTCAGAGGTACTTCTGAGAAGCAGGAGAGCTCTGCCACAACACCCAAAGCTGTGGCAAAAAAATGCCCCTACAGAAAAGCCAAACAGGATGAAAAATCTTCAGAGAGCGAAGACGACAACAAGGAGCCAAAGAAACACAAAACGTCTCAGACCAAAAGGACACGCAAGTCAAAGTTGACTGCAGGCATCCAGGAGCAGAAGGAATCTAGTAACGAGGGGAACTGCTTAGCAGAAAAAGATGTGCCAGTCAGGCCCAAAAATGATCGCCGGAGACGAGTGGCCTCCAAAGTGTGTTACAAAGAAGAGAGTGGAAGTGATGAGGGCAGTGTTTCAGACTTCGAGGTTTCAGAGGAGGAGGGTGATCTCTCTGATGAGGATTTTGAAACTGTCTCTAAAAGGCGGAGGAGCTCACTGGGCTCCAAGAAGTCAACGGTAACGGCTATAAAAAGCCCAAAAACTGAGACTTCAGAATCAAGGCTATCCAAAAATTCATACGGAGCTGAGCCTAGGCCAGCAAAAAGTACAGCTCCAACCTTGCCTCATGCACAGAGAAAGAGAAGCAAAATAATTTCTAGTGATGAGGATGATGGACAGCAGGAAGTAAGGAACATAATGGGCACAGACCAGTGGCTGGAGGTTTTCCTTGAACGTGAGGACAAGTGGGTGTGTGTAGACTGTGTTCATGGCAATGTTGGCCAGCCCCAGCTGTGTTTCACATATGCCACAAAGCCACTGTCCTACGTTGTGGGATTTGACAATGATGGGAGCATCAGGGATGTGACGCAAAGATATGACCCACTGTGGATGACTGCAACAAGGAAGAGCCGTGTGGACCCTGAGTGGTGGGAAGACACACTGCAGCCATATAGAAATCCCTATGTGGAAAGAGACAAGAAGGAGGAAAATGAGGTAAATGGCAATTTCAGGACATTTAGTGCCAAGAGTCCAGTCCTTGGATTCTTGTTCAGGCCAAATCATTAGGCATCTTTCCATGAGGAAGGAAGTTTGTATTTGAGCTTGAAATGTTCAGATTGAGCATGTTTTAAAGGGAATGTACAATGATAGAGTAAAATAATATCAAATGGAGGCTGTTCAGAGAAATCTGGATAGCAAAAGTACTGGACAGCCCATGCTGCAAACTTATTAATGTGGTTTCTGTACAGTTTAGCGTTACCCTTCTCAGAGATAGTCTTAACATATGTAGATCTGGGTAGACATCTAAGTACCTATTTGCAACAAGAATGCTTGGTCTGTTGGCTCATCTGATTAAGTTTCTGCGGTTTTTTCCTTTGATCCATGCTATAATCATTCTTACTTTCTTGCAAAGGGTAGTGCAAGAACATTGTGAAATCACTCCTCTTTGTATAATTCCTACAGTTTCAAGTTAAGCTTCAAGATCAGCCTCTACCAACAGCAATTGGAGAGTACAAAAACCACCCTCTTTATGCACTGAAGAGGCATCTCTTGAAATATCAGGCAATCTATCCTGAATCGGCTGCTATCCTAGGGTACTGCAGGGGAGAAGCTGTCTACTCCAGGTGAGTGGTGCACATGGTGTCATGTGCAACTGTGATCTTTGTAATAAATTTAAGAGCTAATTCGTGTAAAGACCATGATGGTATCAGCAGTCGTCTTAGGCCATGTGCATAGGCAGGGTGAGGCATTTAGCTCCTCGGGCAGTATTTGCATATCACTTAGATACAGCTTTTTTACCATTCCTAACATGTGAATAACAGTTTGGAAGTCTCTTATGGAGATATTTCAAAACTCTTACAGTTGCTTCCTTCTGGTCTTTTTAGAGACTGTGTACACACGCTGCACTCCAAGGACACTTGGCTAAAGCAAGCTCGAGTGGTGAGAATTGGAGAAGTGCCTTACAAGGTAAGAGGGTTTGACTTCCTCCTCTGCAACATGTCTGCCCTCTAAATTCAAGCTCAATTCTGTTTTGGTTTTTGCCTTCTCTCTGTCAGCAGATGTAGATTTCTTGCTTGCTTGCATGGTTTGTGGTAGCTGCATCGTGAATCTGTCCACCTACCGTGCCTGTAGTTGCTTTGTACTACCCAAAGCCCAGCTATCTGTTCTTCCCACCCCAATGGTATCTAGCAGAACCCTTTTTAACTTCTCCAAGGGCTTATGGGTTATCCTTTATAGGCAGTGGATACTGAAGATAGGAAACAGACATTTCTTCTCCCCCAGAGCCTTATCCTTTGATGTCCTGGGAAGAAGTCTGAAATCGCTGGCAGCTTGCGGTGGTGTTACAGACTTGGTCATTTTATTTGCGCAGATGGTGAAAGGATTTTCCAACCAGGCGAGGAAGGCGCGCCTTGCAGAGCCTGCAAACAGGGACAAGGAGGATCTGGCGCTGTTTGGTCGCTGGCAGACAGAGGATTATCAGCCGCCTGTGGCAGTGGATGGAAAGGTAGCTAGGGAGGCAGAGGGCTGGTGTGAAAGTGTTTTTTATGGAGCTGTGAGCTTTATTTTTTCTAGAAGTTGCATGTTTCAGAGGTGGGATCAGTCAATAACATCTGGATTCAGGATTAAGAGTTCTGAGGTAACTGTATCCAAGAGGAAATGGTCAAAACTTCATTTAGACCTTTCTTTCCCGAGTACAAGTAATGGGCGCTAGCCATGCAGACTGCTAACTTTATAATTTTGTTCATCTAATTTGCCTAGCCCATGTTTGTTTTGCTAATTCTCTGCATTACAGTCTGAGTAACAAGGCCTGGGCAGAGAACATAGCTAGGAGATAACCATGCAGCTAAAATCTAAGCTTGTGACTTGTCATGTGAATATTAATCGAATACTGGAGTGGAATGTAGCAGGTCAGAAGGAAGGGAGAGTCCCTGCGTTGCAGCAGGGATTTTCACCTCTCTCCAGAGAGCAGGAGTGTCACCATTGCTCTTTAATTTTGCGATAACAGGTTCCTCGGAATGAATATGGAAATGTCTATCTCTTCCTGCCATCCATGTTACCCATTGGCTGTGTGCAGCTGAGACTCTCAAACCTGAACAGATTGGCGCGGAAGTTGGACATCGACTGTGCTCAAGCCATCACTGGATTTGATTTTCATGGTGGCTACTCACACCCAGTGTACGTAAAGCTGCTTTGTGGCAGCTGACAGATTTTGATGTCCTGAAGAAGTTATATACCCTGTGTTAAGGAGTACATGTGATGAGTTACACACTTAGATCCTATGAGACAGGTATTGACAGTTCTGTCAGTATTCAGTAGCTTTTGATTTGGCTGGGTCAGCAGGCATTTGCTCCCTTTCTTTTTTTCTTCTAGTAGCTGACAGAGGATTGTGTTCTCCTTCCTAGTACCGATGGCTACGTTGTCTGTGAGGAGTATAAAGAGGTCCTCATTGCTGCCTGGGAGAATGAACAAGCAGAAATAGAAAAGAAGGAGAGAGAGGTGAGAATTATTTTTGCAACTTCTGTATTGTTACATTTATTAAGTAAGTAAACTCCATTTAAAGTGGACAATCAAACAAGAGTGGGCTGTGTAAGCAACAGACACAGAGCTCTGTGACCGTGAAGGGCTAGTTGCATCCCCCAGCTTGCTGTCCAGACTGCAGCGGGATGCAGTACAAGTGTGTAGCAATATCTGAAATGGTACATACTCTGGAATAGTTTTCCATGGCTGCTGGGAAACACAAAATGAGGAATACATGTATAAGTATAAAGTGTTGGAGGTGGTTCTGGTGTAATTTACACAGTCAGGGTACACATTAGAAAGGGACAGTAATTCATATATTTAGCAGATAATTGGACACAAATGCATTTTACTCTTAAGAATCCTACTAGCCTATAATTTACTGTGACACATTTAAGTTGGCATGTTTCTTTTTAATGGCAGTTTAAAATCTTCAAACTTCCATTTTGTGTGGGCGTAAATACATTGAAACTCATAATAGTAAGTTTTTCTCTTTTCAATAACTGTATGTCACACAGAAGCGTGAGAAAAGAGCTCTGGGGAATTGGAAGCTGCTGACGAAAGGACTTCTCATCAGAGAGAGACTGAAGCAACGCTACTCCATCAAGGTGTTCTGCATTTCTGTTAGTGATTTCTTTTGCAGGATGATATTTCTCTACCAAGATACCTCTTTCCAGAATTTCCAATGTGTCACGTTTCCAGCTGTAGAGTGTAGAACTTCCAGAGTGTAGTTGCTCAAAAATCCTTTTATTTCCTGTTGTTAGCATGTGACTAGCAACTAGTAAAAACAAAAACCTACACCAGAAATTCGATGTGGTTATGTCTGTGAAAGATTCATTATTGTTTGACAAGAGATCAGTGTTTCCCAAAGCATCATTTTTTTCAGTATTATTTTCTGTTTTGACATACTCCCTTTGTAGATTAATTCCTCCAAGCCAGCCAGGTAGCTACCAGGATAAGAGTGGGCTGCTTTTTGTTAGGAAGCCAGATGTTTTAGTTCTTAATGTTTTCCCCATTGAGAAAGGTGAAAAGCATTATCTTTTTAAAGCAGGATTATTTTTATTCTTCCATCATCAAAAATATTTTGCCTGTGTTGAAAGAATGGTTGACATGCAGAAAGAGAAGCACACTGCTTTGGGCAAGAAGCCCAAACCAGAGCAACCAACCAACTTCCGTCACAGTGACACTTCATGACATTACAGAAGACAAGCCCTTTTAGGCAGGGGTAGTTATGAGTGATTTCTAGGGCAACTTTTCAATTTTCACACCTGTTTTTTCAGACTGAGCCATCGGCACCTGAGACACAGAAGGGAGCTGGATTCTCTTCCGCTGAAGAAGGAGGTCCGAGTTCAGAGAGTGCAGTAGGGAATGTGGCCATTTCTTGGCCCCAAAATCGCCAGTTAGAGAAGAAAAAAGAAGAGAAGACAACCAGAAAGAGCAAGCGAGAAAAGAAAGGAGAAGCAGCACAGTTGTTCCCTTTTGAGAAACTGTGATCAGAACAAGCGTTTCTTTGCCGTTTCTAGATGCAAGATCAATAGTCACAACAAAAGTATCCTTTGCTAGTTAAGGACATAGTCTTCCTGTGCACTGGTGTTTCTGAGCAGTCAGGGACCAACCTAATGCAATATCAAGAGTTTCTTTTGCTATCGCAGGTAATTAGGTTCATCCTTTTGTCTTTGGACTTAGGAGAAGCAGATGTACAGTTGTACCTTCTGAGAAGATCACTTTGTGTTGTTGGGGTTCTTTGCTGTCTTTTGTATCCACACTAATAATTCTGGTTTCTGAGGCATTCCTTTCATTAGCATTGTTTTTTTTCCCATTTTTCTCTTTTCCATTTTTCTCTGCTTGCCCAGAACTAAAGCGTGCAGCTGCCACTTACCAGTCTGTGGTGAGTTGGCCAAAGGACTACTCACACCCTCTTTGATACATACCTTATCCAAGTCAGTGGTGAGGTAGAGTTCTGGTCTTGTTCTCTCATCATCAGAGAAGGGGAAGTACTTCCTCTAAGGTGTAAAGAAGCACGCAGTCAAGCTCTCGAGGAATCTGAAAATTTACTTTCTAAAGAATACCTGCCTTTTGTGAAAAGTCAGTTTTGGCTTTTCATTCTTCCTTTGCTTTCAGAAATCTCGTGCATTAGAAGGAAGCCTTGTCCTCATTTCAAACTTCAGGTTAAATATGTTGTCTTGAGTAATTTGAATATATAGGTATTTGTTTCAGTTTTGTTTTGTCAAGACCATGTGGATATGTTCTGGAGCAAAACATGTAAAACTGACTGTCATTGTCAGAAACAAAATTTGCTGAAACCAGAGCACTCTTGTAAATGTTACCCAGCACCTAGGCATTTAAAAACCCTTAGGAGAGGAATGTTAAAGCTACATAAGCTTTTTCTGCAGTTTTACAATAGAAATGCTGAGCTGTCTTTTGTAGTATTTTTATAATTAAATTACACTGACACTGTCTCTTCAAAAATAGAGGGGAACAGTCTAGCCATTGCTGGACATTGTCACAGAGGAAAGATTGAAATGCAAAAAGATGGCTTACATTTAATTATGTTCAGAAAAAACCTATTTTTGTACTGTATTTGTAGAACAAAATAAAGTATGGAAAAAAGAGTAATGTTGTCGGTTACACCTCCCCTCCGGCCAGCTCGTTCTTCTCTAAGCAGTTCTGTGTCCCTGGAAGGACTCATGCAAGGGTAAGAAAGAGCACACCGTAGTATTTCCAGAAGTCACGCATCGGGTCCTTGGATATCCCAGAGCTATGTGCCTGTTAATTGTTGTAATGTTAAGGGTCTTCATGCTGCATTTTTCATTTTTGCTACTAAATTCTAAATAAACGAAATGGTAACAAATAAAGATAATAACCTTTAATAAAAATAATAAATAAAGAGCAACCTAAGTTGGAGGACTGGGAAGTAGACATGACCTGTATATAAGGCTTCAAGAAAAATTCTAAATCTTGCATGAACTGGTAAAAGATGTAGCTCCTTCTGTGTTAGTCATGGTGCTGACATGCAGGATGCACCCTGAGATGAGCGCTTTGAATGCCAGGGCCCAAGTCCAGCTCCTGCTGGTACCGGTAATTTTTTACCTGCTTAACACAAGAGCTGGTACCAGCTGTACCAGAGTGACTCTGGGCTCCCTAACTTGGGACACCCACCGCAGACAGACAAAGTTATGAGCGTCG